CAGGGCTCAGCACAGCCTCTCCCCCGCCTACCAGGAGATGCTGAGCAAGGCACGGGCTGGTGACACTGGGGTCAAACTGGAAGTGAACGAGAGGTGAGTGTCGGTCAGGGAACTGGAGATGGGAGGATGAGACTGGTACCATGGGCACCCCACAGAGGGCTCAGAGGGGTTTGTCTCACAGGATCCTGGGCTCCTGCACGGGCCTCATGCAGGCCATCCACATCCTGGTCCTGGCCTCCAAGGACCTCCAGAGAGAGATCGTGGAGAGTGGACGGGTGAGCTGGTACAGGGGTGCAGTCCCAAGGCACTTGGCCAGCCAGGGGTCACCACATGCTTGCTGGAACATGCGGCTCCAACCCTTGGCCCATTGGAGCTTCCCCACCAGCTGCCAGGAGCTCCTGCCCCAGCCCCAGGGTCTCTCCCTGGCTCTGATTCCTGGGGTGTTACAGAGATCCTTGATCCCTTCCCACACAGCCCCCTGTGCTGGGTGTCTCCCCAGCTCCCACACACATCCGAAATGACACCACAACCTCCTGCTTTCTGCCAAGACTGGGGGTCCCCTGTCCCCAGCAGTGCCTTTCCCCACTGCAGGGAGCAGCATCCCCCAAGGAGTTCTACGCCAAGAATTCCCGCTGGACCGAGGGTCTCATCTCCGCCTCCAAGGCCGTGGGCTGGGGTGCCACCGTCATGGTGTAAGTACCACTGTCACCAGAGCACGGAGAGGATAGCAGAGCCCTGCTGTCCCCACGGGGAAGGGACACAGGGGTGGCAGGACGATGCTCCAGCCCCTTTCTGCCCTCCTGCAGTGACGCTGCCGACCTGGTGGTGCAAGGCAAGGGGACATTCGAGGAGCTGATGGTCTGTTCCCGGGAGATCGCTGCCAGCACCGCTCAGCTGGTGGCAGCCTCCAAGGTAGGAGGTTTGGGGTGACCCTGGGGCACCCCGTGGTCACCCCAAATCGTGGGGCTGGTGGGGTGTGAGTGACCCCCCCCCGGTTGTCCCGGCAGGTGAAGGCAGACAAGGACAGCGCCAACCTTTGCAAGCTCCAACAGGCCTCCCGGGGGGTCAACCAGGCCACGGCCAGCGTGGTGGCCTCCACCAAGGCTGGGAGGTCACAGGTGGAGGAGAAAGGTAAGTGTGGGGCTGCAGGGATTGCTGAGTCATGAAATCACTTAGGGGGGCAGAAATCACTGCAGGGAGTAGAGCTTGAGAGGTGCTGGTGGTGTCTTTCTCCACAGACAGCATGGACTTCTCCAGCATGACACTCACCCAGATCAAGCGTCAGGAGATGGACTCGCAGGTAGGATGTTCCCACATTTTGGGAAACGTACCCACTGATGTCTCACTTGGGCTGCCCAGGCTGGGGGAGAGGTGGGGGGGGACCAAGATGGGGGGCTCACCCTGCCCAGCTGCCCCCCAGGCAGCAGTAGCATGGGGGAAGCCCAAGGTGTGAAGGCCACAGGTGGGTTTGCCCAGGAGCCACGTGCAGTTGGTCCTCAATCCCTCCCCAGCACTGTTCCATCGTGGCACAGCAGCCCATGGCTTCCCATGCCCCTGTATGCACCCACCTCTGCCTGGCATGGGGCAGTGCCAGGGAATTCCCAGGGTTCCTAATGGGTCATTCTGCCTTCACCTGCCTGCACAGGCAGCAACCCACCTGGAACCCCACCCCTCCCCGGGTCTGCTTTGTCACCAGATCACCCATGGGACGTACCTTGGTGGTCTTTGGGCTCAATATTGGGGGGATAACGGGTGTGAAAGGGGGGTGCTCGGCCCAGCCCCGTGCCAGGGCGCTGGGTGGGCACATCCTGGGTGGTGTCCCCCAGGTGCGGGTGCTGGAGCTGGAGAACCAGCTGCAGAAGGAGCGGCAGAAGCTGGGGGAGCTGCGCAAGAAGCACTACGAGCTGGCCGGAGTGGCCGAGGGCTGGGAGGAGGATGGTGAGTGCTGCCAGTCCTGTTCCAGCTGGGAAACTGCTCTGGGAAGGAGCGGAGAAGGCAGGATGGAGAAGCCCTGCCTGCCGTCCTGGCAGCGGGCAGGCATTGGTTTCACCCCAGCTGGCACAAACCTGGGGCTAGTTGGCACACACAGGCAAATCCCTGGAGACTCCGACCTGTGGGATCCACATCACCCCTAGGCAGGGGGCTTGGGTGCTGCTGGTCCCAGAGGAGTGGGACAGTGGGATGCTGGGGGGCACTGCACCTCCTGACCCTCTCTTCCCCCTCCAGCTGCAGAGTAGCCCCAGCAGCAGCAGCAGCCCGCGGGGGACACCTGGGGCCTCGCAGGGGACACCCCTGGGACCCCGCTCGATGCAGCCTTTTGGGAAGATCCCCAAGGATCCGGTGCAGAAGCCCCCCTGAAGCACACGCCCCCCTCATCCCCCAGGAGCTGCCTCTGGAGCCCCGGGAGCTGCCCCGGGACGGGGGGCTCTGCAAAGTGCACGTGTATTTATTAGAGCTGCTAGGGGGTGGGGGTGGGAGGGTGTCTCCGGGGGAGGTCTTTAACCCTTTAGTTTTGTTTTTGCACAGATTCTGGGAACTCTTTAGAGCCGGCTCTGGCTGAGCGAGAGCGCTCGGGCTTCTTTCGCCTCTCGCTGCTTTTCCAGCCTTAACCCAGCCCGTGGCTCGGCGTGACCCTCCCCCCGCCCCGGGGATGAGCCTGCTGAGGGCCCCGGGGGTGCCAGCGGGCGGGGGGCAGCTTTTGGAGTGCTGCTGGGCTTGGTGCTAGGTGTGCTCCCCCTCGGCGGGGGCACCGAGTGCCTTTGGCCACTGCAGAGTGCGGGGGTGACGTTCCCGTGGGACACCCTGGCTGGGGACACCGAAATGCCGGGAGAGGGGCAGGCAGCAGGAGGGACGCTGCCGTGAGCTCCTGCCCCACATCCCAGGTTCCCAAAACGCCCCCCCCCGCAGTGCCCCCTTTGAGCTGGGCTGCCCTGCCCTGACAGATCACTGTGTTCATGCCAGCAATAAACCCTCCACAAGGTGCTGGGCACGGGGTTGGGCCACCACGGTGCCACCGCACAAGCCACCAGCTCCTGGGGATGGGGGGGTGGCTTTAGGGCAGCACAGAGGGTTTGGGGGGGCAGCCAGGGTGCCCCAAAAACAGAGCACCGCAAAGCCAGAGGAAAGCATCTCCCTGTCCCCGCTCGCTTTGGTGCCACCCCAGTGTCACCACCACCCTCTTGGGTGCAGGGGGGACTGGTGCCAGCATGGCCGTGGGCAAAGATGGGCACTAGCCAGGGAACCTTTGTGCCTTGAGCAGGGGGCTCGGAGGGCAGGGGGGCATTGCCACCTCTAGGCCCCCCAGATGTCCCTGTCCCCTGCGGTCCTGCTGGTGCTCCTGCTGGGGCCAGAGTGTCCCTCCCCTGCTGCGGGGCAGGATTTGGCCTTTCTCCCTTTGGGAAGCAGCTGGGCTGTCCCCACGTGCTTTCCCAGTGACATCCCTCAGTCCCCGGGGCAGTGGGACCTGCCACCACCACCACCGCCGCGGCCTCGGAGCTGCCACCGCCCAGCGCAGCCGTCCAGAGAGCAGGGACCCGCTGTCCCCGCGTCCCCAGCCAGCCCTGCTGCCACCCCCAGCCTGCTGGGGGGACCTGGGGGCTCCCCGTGGGGGTCCCGTTGCCTCCTCATCCCACCCCGCGCTGGCTCCCCTCGGATGCAATACCAACCATCCCGTTCCTGCCGGACACGGGGAGCCCCAACACCCTCCCTGCTTTTTTTGGGGGGGTTCTCGCCTGCACCCCCAACTACCTCGGGGCCGGGGAGGGGCGCGGGGGCAGCAGGGGCGTGGGGACAGCGACACAGCCCTCGGCCGAATCCATTGTCCCTTTTGTATCTGGGGCGGGGGTCCCCGCGGTGTCCCCGGTGCTGGTGACGGGGGCAGGGGCTGCCCCGCCGGTGCAGGGCGGGTTGGTTTGGGTTTTCATTGTATGATAACAATGACCCGTCGCGTGTTTGGGATTTTTCAATAAAGCCTTCAGCCCAGCCCTGCGGCTCCAGCTGGGGGGTAGGTGCTGTAGTGGGGGGGGGCCGTGCAGACCAGCCTGTGCTGCGGGGTCACCCCGGCAGGACCATGGTTGTCAAGAGGGTCCTGCTGCTGGGTGGCCCATGGACACGGATCTCGGAGGAACGTCCCCTCCTAAGCGTACTTAGCCCACCCTGGGCACACCCAGTGTCCTCCAACCCTGCCAGGGCCACGCGGACCTGGGGTGACACCTCGGGGTGTCCCCACGGCTGTGTTCTGCATGGTCCCTGCCACTGTCCTTTCCTGCACAGTTTCTGCCATTGTCCCTGTCGTTGTCTCAGCCTGCCATGGCCCCTGCCATGACTCCTGCCACGATTCCTCTCAGCCCTGGTCCCTGCCGCGGTCCCTGCTCCGCAGGACCCGGCTGGCTGGCAGCAGGGCAGGATATCCCCTGGGACAGCCATGTCCCCTGGGGACCGCCCCGGCACACCCAGCCGGAGTGGCGCTCCCACAGTAGCCAGCACCGCGTGGGTGACTGTCCCCGGCCCAGCCATCAGAGACACCGGGGGAGCACCGGCACCTTCGGGGGGTGCCGCGGCCGGGCGGGGACACGTGGGGCGGGGCCGGGAGAGGCCACGCCCACCAGTGAAACCCGAACTCACCGCGCAGTGCATGCCGGGGACCCGGAGGGCGGTGCCGCTCGGCCGGGAGGTCCCTCCCACCTCCCCAAGCCACACCCACCTCATGTCATCTGGAAGACCCTCCCGTCCCCGCGCCGAGAGAGCCGGCCCCGCTCGGACAGGACAGCCCCGCCCACCTCAATAAGCCCCGCCCACCATGTGAGCCCCGCCCACTCCCTGAGCCCCGCCCTCAGTTCACCCCTGGAGGGCCGGCCCAGCTCAGCCTGCTAAGCCCCGCCCACCCGCTCAGCCCCGCCTTCACTCAGCCCGGTCCAGCCCCGAGCCCCGCCCACCAGGTAAATGCCCCGCCCCCGCGCGGGCCGCGCGCAGAGCACGCCGGGAGCGGCGGGCGCGCGGCGATGGCGGGCGCGGGGCCGGGCGGGCGGGACGGGGCCGTGAGGGCCGCGCTGGCCGTGGCCGCGGCGCTGGCGCTCGCCCTGGCCTGGCTGCTGCTGCGGGGCGCGCTGCTGGGCGCGGCGGCCGTGGGCGCGGCGGGCGCCTGGTGCGCCATGCGGCCCGGCCCGCCCGCGCCGCGCCCGCCCGCCAGAGCCGCCGCCAACGGCGGCCCGGCCGTGAGGACCGCGCCGCGCCGAGCGCAGCCCGGGTAAGGACGGGAGGGATGGGGGCGGCGGGCGGGGGGAGTCTCGCCCCGTCCCGCACTGACCGCGCCGTGTCCCGCAGGGCCCCGCGCTGCCCGCCGCAGCCCCCGCGCCGCCGGTACCCGCTGCCGCAGCCCCGCCCGGCCGCGCCGTTCGGCCTGTCCGCCGCCCGCTGGGAGGGCGGCTCGCCCCGCGCCGCGCCCTGGGCACGCCGGGCCGGTCCGCTCCGCAGCCCCGTCACCGTGAAGATCGCACCGCCCGCCGCCGGCATCGCCCGCGCCCCGGCGTGAGTTCCGACCGGCCGGGATACACTGCGGGGAGCGGAGGGGGATACCGGGACACAGCGGGGAATCACGAGGGGGGACTGGGGCACACCGCGAGGAGCCCGCTTATCAGCCGCGGAGGGGACCGGGACACGCTGGAGGCAATCACAGGGGGTACTGCGGGGACCCACTGGGGGAAGCCCACTTATCACCGCGGGGATACTGGACGCATCGGGGGAAGCCCTTGTCAATCACGGGGGATATCGAGACACAGCGGGGGAAGCCACATTATCAGCCCTGGGAGCACCATCCCATCCTGAGTGCTGCCACATGGCCAGGAGGATGGTGTGACCCAAACCCTCGGGAGAGCTGTGTTCCCTTTTCCACGGGAGAATTCTGAGCAGTGATCCCAGCCAGCCTAACAGCATGCTCTGCTCTGCCTCCCAGTCTGGAGCAGCTGGTCTCACCCCTGGCCTTCCCAGCCACCAGCAGCCCCGACCCGTGTGCCAAGGAGACTGTGCTGAATGCCATCAGGGAGAGCAGGAAAAGGGCCGTGGAAGAGGAGGAGGAGGAGGACCAGACCTTTGGGAACGATCAGGAGAGCAAGAGAAGGTAACAAGGGAGCAGCTCAGGTCACTGACGGTGTGTCGGGAAGGTCTCTGATGGGGCTCTCGCTCCAGTGATGACAAATGGGATGTGTTCCTGAGAGTGCCAGGCCTGATGTGACCAGGATCTGGGCTGGAAGAGCTCTGTGGGAAGGGAACTGCAAGGAGGAAGCACATCCCATCCATCACCTGGCCCTTGGGGCTGTGTCAGACAGTGCTCTGAGGCTCCTGTTGTCCTTGAGATCAAAGGGATGTGGTTTAGGTGTGGGTCCAGTGTGTTCCTCTGCCTGGCTGGGGTTGGGAGGGGCTGGGATGTGGTTTGGGGAGCTTCGCTGGGAAGTGGCTTCTATCCTCACAGGAATTTGCAGACTGGGAAGGTGTGGTGGGAAGTGCCAATGTCTGCTGTGAGCTCTGTCCTTCGTTCAGCCCCAGGCTCCCAAGAGAGGATCCTCAGGTAGATGGATCCTTCTTGGAAAGCTCTACACACTTCCCTTGTGGGCTGAGTGAGCAAAGGGAGGTGAAACGTGAGGGTAACAGAAGACACTGCTGCTCTTGTTAGTCCAGGTCAGCAACTTCCAGCCCTGAGCATCAGGGAAGGAGGGTGCCCTGTCTTTGCCAGCACCCTGGGAAGGACCAGGAGTAAATCCTGAATGCAAGGTCTGCTGGAGCCCAACAGTCCAGGCACAGCACTGCCTCACTGCCCTGCCCTCATACAGTCATGGAATGGTTGGAGCTGGAAGAGACATTAAAAACCATCTCATTCACACCTTCCACTAGCCCAGGTTGCTCCAACCTGGCCTTGAACGCTTCCAGAGCTGGGACAGCCACAGCTTCTTTGGGCAACCTGTGCCAGATCCTCCCCACCCTCACAAGGAAGAATTTCTTCAGTGTAGCCAACCTAAATGTCCCCTTTTTCAGTGTGAACCCATCACTCCTTGTCCTGTCATTACAGTTCCTGCTACAGAGTCCTTCTCCAGCTCTATTGTAGGCCCCTTCAGACCCCGGAAGGCTGCTGAGGTCTCCCTGGAACCTTCTCTTCTCCAGGCTGAGCAGCCCCAGCTTTCTCAGCCTGTCTCCATAAAGAGTTGCTCCAGTCCCCCTAGCAACTTTGTGGCCTTCTCTGGACTTGCTCCAACTTGTTTCATCTTTCCCAGTTGTGTCCATGGAGGCTGTTCCCTCTGTGCTGGGCCTGGTCTGGGCAGGGAGCTGGGGCACTGCAGAGAGTGGCTTGGGCAGTGCCCAGGCACATTGTCCTGCTGCTGGAGGTGACCCAGAGGGCACAGCAGGGCAAGGCAGGGCGCACCATCCTCCTCCAGCACTGAATTCCCATCTCTGGATGCTTGACTTGGTGGATCTGAGCCCAGCAAGAGCCAAGCAGGACAACAGCAGGGTGGATGCACGGAGGGGATCAGCTCGGGGGTTTTCTTTATTCTGTTTTAATGTGCCAGTGCACAGTTCTGCCCCAAAAGCCAATTTTGAAGGCGTTCCTGTCTGGGAAGCACAAGGAATGCTCGTAGGCAGAAAATTCTGGGACCTTGGAGGGCAGAAAGGAGCTGTGTCAGCTGGAGAGCACAGGGTGGCCTGAGCTGTGGGGTCAGCATGCTCAGAGCTTGAGGGGAGCTGTCCTGCACTTTCAGCTCTGCTTCACAACAGGCTTTGCTTTGGGACTGTCACACTTCAGATCCTCTTGGAATCATTGTGGGAAGGAGAATTCAGCTTCTGACTCAAAACAGTCCTGGGCATTGGTTTGGCAGAAGTTGGAGATGAAAGTTTCAGAGATCAAGTCTGTTCAGAGAGACTCAGCAGCTCGTTTCTGGGAGTATTTTAGCTTAGAATGATGGATTTGAGCAAAGATTTTTATTTTCTTATGCTCAAACTAGTGTGCCCTGTAGGATGTTGGAGTTTGAGGTGAGAGTCAGTGAGGACAGGCCCGGGGCGAGAGAAAATCCACACGAGTCTGCAGAGGTGGAAAAACTCTGTCCTGGGTATTGGGTCCCAGGAAAAAAAGCAGGGTTTGAGCTCTCCCAGTGTTGAGCCTGCCTGGAAAGGAGCCTCTCCCCAGGCTGGGAGAGGCTTCCATACTGCCCCAGGCTTCCACCCTCTCTCCCACAGGCGCCACGACAGCAGTGGAAGTGGGCAATCGGCGTTTGAGCCACTGGTAGCCAACGGTGCCCCCGCCTCTCTCATACCCAAGTAAGTGCCCAACAGGCCAAAAGCAACTCCTGGGATGGTGGAGGGGAGCAAAAATCTGTGGGATCTGGAAAAGGGGCTTGGGTTTTGCTTGCAGAGCCTGGCTTTGGGGGAGAACAGGAGAGGCTGTTGGTCTGTCACCCTGTGTCAGCGGGGCTGCGTTGCTGCTGAGGGTTATTCCCAAGCCTGTAAGGAGTGGGATTGCCTTTCTCTGCCTGCCCAGCATGGAAAGGGCCTTTGGGCAGAGCTGGGGAACTCACCAAGCCTTCAATCCCCTCCTGCAGGCCAGGCTCTCTGAAGAGGGGCCTTGTCTCTCACTACCCCGACGACTGCTCCAACAAGAGGTCCCGCACGTCCTCCATGAGCTCCCTCAACAACACGTACTCCGGGGGCATCCCCAGCTCCATCCGCAACGCCATCACCAGCTCCTACAGCTCCAGCCGGGGCCTGGCACAGGTACGGACACCTGGGCTGCACGTTCCTCTGGGAATCACCCGTGGAATCCCAGTGCTGGGCTCATGAAGAGCAGCATGGCTGTGTGCCTGGATCTGCTGTGGCTCGGCTCACGTCCCCGAGGGTCAAGTGGCCTGTGGGTCCAGCAGCAGTGTTGCCTGTTTTCTGGAGAGTCCCAGGCTGAGCTGCCCAGCTGTCTTTGCACCAAACCAAGGATGAGGCTGTTTTCCCCTCCCTCCTCATCCCTGATCGGTCTGCAAGGCTGGATAGATGCAGGTGAAAGGAAAAAAAAAAAAAAGGCTTTGCTGCGCTGACACCTTTTGAGCTGGAGTCAGCAGTGTGGGAGCCATGTGTTCCCTCTCTGACCCAGGTCCCAGCTGCTGACTGATGCAGCACTACTTGTGTCCTGCTTGGGCTTGCAGATGTGCCAGGGACACTTAGCCATGGCCACTGGAGCTCTGTCTGTGTGGGGGAAGGTTTGCTCCACGTAGTGGTAGGGAAATGTTTCCTAGGGCTAGGGGTAGTCAGATCCTTGCATTGGGATCCTGCTCTGAACTCCTGGCAAGGAGGTGCTGGCTCCTGCCAGAGCAGCCCCACGCACGTGAGGGTATCCAAAGCAGCTGGGTGGCCTCTGCCTGTGTCACACAAAGGCAAGAGTTGGCCCAACAGTGTCCTGGCTCTGGATGCTGATTGTTCCTCATGTGGGTTCAGCTTGGGGTGGCCAGACATTGAGCTCCCCAAAATGGGGGGGGGGGGAGTTAAGTGGTGGTGAAGCAGGAGGGGCTCTGGGCTCGTTAGGCTCATTATCCACAGTCCTGGGTGATGGGTTGAGTGGGGGTGAGCAGGAGCAAGGGGGCCTCTGCTCCCTGCGAGCCCCATACCGAGTTATTGCTGGTGTCTCTTTATCCCAGCTGTGGAAGAGAAGTGGTGTGAGCGTGTCCCCAATGTCCAGCCCAGCGTCCTCCCGTCCCCAGACCCCAGAGTGGCCTCTGAAGAAAGCCAGGTAATCAGCCTCTCACAGAGCCAGCTGGGAATGGAGCTGTCGCTTTCCCAGCAGTCCCAGTGCCCAAGTCCCAGTTTCCACTGGAGCTGGGACAGTCCAGAGTCCTCTCTTAAAAATAATGGTGGGTCATGCAGTGTGTGGAGACCCTCTTGTCGTGTTGATTGGCCCCACTGTTGCCCTGTGACACTGTGGTGCCACCCCTGTCCTGCTCCCAGGTGGGGGTGGAGATAGAAGGGCTCAAAGTTGCTGCAGAGGTGATGGTGCCTTATGGCAGTGGCATGGCCTGGGTTGGTGGTTGCTGGAACACTGGGTAAAGACAGGCCCTGATTTTTGCCACCACCTTGAAATCAAATCCCAGGGCTGTATTGTAGTGCCTGCCTTTGAGCACAGCCCATGTTCTCCTCTCTCCCAAATCAGAGGAGCCTGAGGTTGTGTCAGAACCGAAGCCAACACAGTCGCCTGGTTGACACAATCACCTGGTGACAGGCTGAGTGTAACTTGCGAGGGGCGGTGCTCCCATCCAGGACCCCCAGCTGCCCCCCAGGGCTGACCCATCCTGAGGAGGGGGTGCAGGCCCAGCCAGGCTGGGGCTGGAGCAGGAAGCAGCTCCTCTTCCTGAAGCTTCGCAAGGCTCTTGTCCTGAGGTCTGTTTGCAGGAGGCAAAGAAATGCCAGGGATGCTGGTGGGAATCCTCAGCGTCTTCGGTCTCATCCTGCTCCCTGGGATGGGGCTGAGCCCAGGATTGATCCTAACTGGTTTTCTCCTGCTGGCACAGGGAAGAGGAGTCACATCGTTCCAACACTTCCACCCCAGTGAAGTCAGACAAAGAGCTGCAGACAGAGAAGGGTGAGTATAGATGGGCCCTGGCTCTACACCTGGGTTGGATGGGCCAGCAGAGTGAGCAAAATTAGGACAGGAGATAGCTTAGGTAGGTGGAAAGTTGGAACGTGCTGCTCCCAAAGCAGTGCTGCTTCAGCCGGCCTCAGGGACTGCCCTGGTGGGATTTCCAGGTGATGGGGGCTGTGTCAGGGATGCCTGGGAGCTGGCTTGCAAGGGGAAGCTCCAGCTACCAACCCAGCATGGGTTCAGGTGTCAGCCTTGGCCAAGACCTGCTGTGGTGTGAGTGGAGTTCTGATCATATTCCAGGCTGAGCTTATTCCAGTGCTTCCTCAGCTAAAACAGAGAGGCAGTCCTCTGTGCCTGTGGCAGATAGGCCCCATGGCACGGTGCAGGGACCATCCTGGAGCTAGGAAGGGGTTGCTACCCCACAGAGCCCTAGCCGGCTCTTGTCCCAGACTCCCTGGGTGTGTGGTGCCAGCTGCTCTTCCAGGGGTATCACAGCCTTGCCCCTGGCTCTGAGCTGGGCCATCCAGAGAGGGGTTGGGACAGCCCCATCAGTACAACCGAGCGCCTGCCCGGAGCTGGACCTGACCTGTCTCCTCCTGCAGTGGCGGAGTCGCCGGTGTGGAAGAAGCGGAATTCCCTGAGCCCGCCGTCGGCGCCGGGGAGCAGCGGGAAGCGCAAGCGGAAGATCCCGTTGCTGTCGTCACTCCGTGGGGACCAGCTAGTGCTGGTACGTCGCTGTCTCACAGCCCCTCTGGCCCCGCTCTGGCGATAGAATGTGCTCACTGCAATTTCTGCAGGGCTGGGGGGACACTGACCTGCCTGCCCTCAGGAAGGAGGCCCCGTCCTTGGCCGAGTGGGAAGTGACGCTGTCCCCAGCCCCAGTGTCTGGTGGGCTGTGCGTGGTTGTGCTGCCTGCTGCCGGACCAGGTAATGCCTGGGGAAGGCCTGCCGTGCCCTCAGTGCCACGCCGGGGGTCCAGCGGAGTCGGGGACCGGAGCTCCGCGGTAGCTGCGGCAGGACCAGCTGCTTCACGGGGCTCGCCACGGCCAGTCGCCAGCGCACCTTCCGAGAGGCTCTGCTTCCCTGGGAAGGAGCTAAGCTGCTGCTGCTCTCTCTTGGCAGCCCCCGCCACCTCAGCTGGGCTACTCCATCACCTCGGAGGACCTGGATGCGGAGAAGAAGGCAGTGCTGCAGTGGTTCAACAGTGTCTTGGAGGATAAAGCTGGTAAGGGCAGGCTGCGAACGTGGAGGGTGGTAGGAGCAAGCCCAAGGCTGGCAGGGCAGTGGGGTGTCTGGAGCACGAGCTTGGGAAGCACCTGTGTTCATCCTGCCTCAGTCTGGAGGTGCTTTTTGTGCCTTCAGAGCAAGGAGATCTCATACCCCGGCGTCCCCAGGGTGCTGTATGAGGTTCCCCAGGGCTGTGGGGTGTTGGTGTCATTTCCCTGCCCACTGGAGAAGCTCTGCTAAGGGTTTGTCCCCCACAGCCAGTTGTGGATCCTGATTCCTTGCTCCTTCCCTATAGATACAGTCCCCAGCACCACTGCAGAGACGACGCCCGTGTCCAAGCCGCTGACATTCACTGTGACCTCATCAGGGCCTGCACCTGCCTCCACAGCTTCTGCCCTGGCCAGCTCCTCACTCCTGGACAGCCTGAAGAAGATGCAGGGCAGCCAGGCTGCACCCACAGCACCAGGTGAGGACGAGGAGGCTTGGCAGAGTGGGGCCCTGGCAGAGCCAGTCAGTCACAGCAGGAGCTCCACGTTGCCTCTATGTGAGGCAGGTGACAAATCCCCTGTTCAAATGCTCCTCTGGCAGCAGAGCTGGCAGGCAGGTCTCAAGGGGGCACACTTGGGGACACCAAGCCCCAGGTCCTGCTGGGGGCTGTGGTAAGTGCGGAGGGCTGGGTGCGGTGGGTACTGCTCCAGGAGGCTTTGCACCAGCAGGTGGGTGCCTGGCAGAAGGGCAGGCTATCTGTAGGTGCTCCTCTATCCCTAAATAAGCTCTCTCCACCTTTCCAGACACCACTGGAGCTGCAGCAGCATCCCAGCCACCTCCATCAGCTGCACAGCCACCCGCCCCTGCGGTGTCACTGGAGTCGAGCTCTGTGCCTGACACCTCTGCTGACACCAAGCCTGTGCCCGTGCTGAGCACACCTGCCCCTGCTGCCCCCCCTGCCCTGGGGGTGCAGCCCCCAAGCAGCCTGGCACCTGCTGCATTCACTGAGCTGGGCCAGACCCACAGCAAACCTCCCTCTCTCCCAAAGCCAAGCATTGTGTTTGGAATGCTGAACACCCCTCCTGCCAGCCAGCCAGCAGTGACTGTGGCCACTGCTGTGCCCAGCACAGCCACTGCCACGCCTATTACAGCCACTGCTGTGCCCACCCCAACCACTGCTGTGCCCACTGCAGCCACTGCTGTGCCCAACACTGCCACTGCCGTGCCCACCCCCATGTTCAAACCCATCTTCGGTGCTGTACCGAAGAGCGAGAGCACAACAGCCTGCTCGGCTGTCACCTCCACCACGGCCACCGTGTCTGCGAGCTCAGGCCCTTCCTCAATGTCCTCCACCACCACCATGTTCAAGCCCATCTTCGGCAGCGTCACCGCAGCTTCGTCCCCAGCGAAAGTCTCTCCTTTCGCCTTCAAACCGACGGCACAACCGGCCCCAGAGCGACCCGGAGCCTCCTCACCTACACCGGTGTTTGCAGGCCTTCCAAACATCATCTTCACCACTGCAGCTACGACAGCCACCACCCAGAGCTCATCCACGGATGCTGCCACTAAACCCGTCTTCAGCTTCGGACTGACCCCACCTGCCTCCACAGGCCCAGCCACTGGCCCGGCTGTCACCGTCACCGCTACCACCTCCACCGGTGCAGCACAGCCCTTCCTGTTCGGGGCCCCAGCCAGCTCCACTCCCAGCACAGAAACCAGCTTTGCCACCCCAGGGCCCATGTTCCAGTTCGGGAAGCCACCTCCGGCCATGGTCACTGCCACCACCACTGCCCCAGCAGGCCCTGCCTTTGGCCAGGCACCTTCAAGCTCCACGGCCGTTGCCGCCACCACTGCGGGCTTTAGCATATTTGGGGGCACCACGCTGACCTCCTCTGCCCCAGCCACCACAGCTCAAGCGCCTCTGACATTCGGCTCCTCCGTTTCAGCTTTTGGCAGCTCCTTCGGCACCGGTGCAAAGGCACCACCGCCATACCCTGGCGCCGGGAGCGCCTTCAGCGCCGGGGCTGCCGACAGCCAGGCGTCCGCCAGCAAACCCACTGCTGGCCCCGTCAGCTTCACCCCCACGTTCAGCTTCGGAGCCCCTCCAGCACAGTTGGCGGCTCAGCCGGCATTCGGCAGCGGTGTCCAGACGGCTTTTGGCACGACCAGCGCCCAGGGCTCATTCGGCACCAGCAGCACCCAGTCGGCTTTCGGCACCACCACCTCGGTGTTCTCCTTCGGAACAGCCACCTCCACCACGTCCGGCTTCGGTGCCACCACCCAGACCACGAGCAGCAGTGCCAGCGGCGCCGTCTTTGGCACCACCCCGTCCCCGTTCACCTTCATGGCCACCACCCAGCCGGGACCCTCGGCCGGCGCCTTCGGGATGAGCACGCCGGGCCTCAGCAGCGGCTCCCCGGCCGTGACCTTCAACTTCGGGGCTGGGCAGAGTGGGGCAGCCCCGGCGGCAGCGCCCTTTGGCTCCTCCCTGCAGCAGAGCACGCTGGGGGCACCAGGCCAGAGCACCCCCTTCGCCTTCACCATGACCAGCACCCCCAACAGCAAACCCGCCTTCGGAGGTGAGTCAACATGGAATGATTGGAAGGGACCTTATAAAGATCATGTTCCGCTCCCCTGCCGTGGGCAGGGACACTTTCACTATCCCAGGTTGCTCCAAGCCCTGTCCAGCCTGGCTTTGAACACTTCCAGCTTCTCTGAGCAACCTGTGCCAGGGCCTCACCACCCTCACAGGGAACAGTTTCTTCCCTATATGTAACCTAAACGTCCCCTCTTTCACTTTGAACCCATTGCTCCTTGTCCTGTCACTGCAGGCCATGTCAGGGGTCTTGAGTTGGGCAGCAGCATTCCTGAAGGACCTTGCCAAGTTCCCGGGCTCCACAGCCCTGGAGAGGCTGGTGCTCCTGCTGTGCAGAGCCTCTCTGTGCTAAGGGAAGGCACTTCCATTACTCCCTGTCCAGGGCCTCAGCCCTTAGTGGTGGAGGGCAATCCATCAGCTCTCCTTGGCCCTTCTGAAGGCACCAGCTCCCTGGCTCCACACCCAGCCAGGTGTCCTGCAGGAGCCAAGGTTGTGCCGGTCCCTAACAGCCACCTGGAGCTCCCTTGCCAGGCAGGGAAGCTGCCAGCCAGTGACTACCATATCTTTGTCCTCACTCTCAGGGTTTCCCTAACATTTCACAGCCTTACTGGGCCGTCCCAGCTCCCACAGAACTGAAACCCACATGCTGAGCAAATGCTTGATGTAGTAAGACAGAGGCCTTTCTTTCTCCCTGGCAAATCATTGTGTGCAGCCCCTCTGCCAGGAGAGCCCAGGGATTACCCAGAGGGTGTGACTTCGGCATTAAAAGGGGTTTTTGGGAGCCTGTCTGGGAGTTGGACTGTGGTGCTTCAGCCCCTGCCGAGAATCCTGTGGGTGCCACTGGCTCCCAAAGGCTCTTCTTCATTTGCCAACTCTGGCTCACCGTGACCTGTTGCTGATTCTATGATTTCCAGGAGCTCCTGCGCCCACCTTTGGGCAGAGCACGCCCGTCCCAGGAGCTGTGGGCAGTGGGAGCAGCACCCTTTCCTTCAGGACACCCAGCACTCCTGCCTCGGGCTTTGGAGGAGTCGGCTCATCCATTGGTAAGGAGTGAGATGATGCTCCAGCCCTGGGGACCTCACGGGTCATGGTGTCTCCTCGGGCTGGGGACAGTGGCAGGGCCAGATGTGTTCTGGGAGCTGGCTCAGGTGGTACCAGCTGGGCTCAGGGGGACCCCAAACCTTTTCTTCCTCCCATGGTAGGCATCACACTGTTCCCACGGGGTGGGGATCACGCTGTCCCCAAGGCTGCAGAGCCCTGAGCCACCTTTCTGCTTCCAGGTTCGTCCACCCCCATCTTCTCCATCGGGGCAGGATCCAAGACGGGCGCTCGCCAGCGGCTGCAGGCACGGAGGCAGCACACCCGCAAAAAGTGACCCCGGTGCTGCTGGGCCCCTCTGGCCCACGTGTGGGGAGCTCCAGGCTGGAGCTGTCCCCGTGGTGGGACCAGGCCCCGTCCCTGCCACCCACTGGAACCCATGCCGGGTGGCTGGGATGGGATAAACCAAACTCTTGTTACTTGAACAGTTCAGAGCCAAGGCTGGACGACCCTCTGTACATATCCGCAACGTCCCTTCCCTCACTTTATTTTGCCATGTTTAATGATGTGTAAATTTTTCCCCATTTGCTACTTCCAGCTTTTCCTGTGCCCCACCCCCAGCCCTCGGCCAGCCTTGGGGCTGTGTCCTGCTCGGAGCCCCACTGTGGCCATGCTGCAGTTCCAGGCTGCCCAGGGACCCCATCTTCACCAGGTCCCCAAGTCTTTCCCATTGCTCATCCTGTGGCCTGGTGAACATGCTCCCATCCCTGCTGCTGGGGTTGGTGCCAGCCTGGTGCTCCCCGGTGCCGTGGATGACCAGCATGGCTTCAGCTGGGTGACCTCATCTGCCACCTCCAGCCGAGGACACGCCGTACCCCCAAGGCCCGTGCTGGAGGCACGGGGTGAGGATGGGGATCCCCCCGCCCCTCTCCCCTCCCCGCTGCTCCGTGGGGCTGTGGGCTGCCCCCACCCCGCTCCCCCTGGTCTGCTTTGTCCGTGCTCCCGTTGTGCGCTCACTGAATCGAGTTTGGAGGAAGAGCTGAACCGTGTGTGTGGCGGCATGTTGGTTATGCCGGATTTGCTGTTTGGAGTTTCTTTTTTGGGGGGCGCCGGTCCCTGGGGGGGGGGACGTGCCCCGGCTAATTGGGTGTTGACAGTAGCATCACTGCGTGGCTGCTCGTGCTGGGGAGTTGTCCCTTCCATGTCGTGACTGAAAGGCAGCTGGGCCGGGGGTGGGTTCCAACCCTGGCAGTCTCTTCCCTCCCTTCCCCTCTCTCCTGGTGCCCCCTCCCCACCTTGGGGTGGGAGGGCTCTGGAGCTGCTCCCAGGATTCCAGAGCAGATGGGTTCTCCTCACCCCTCCCAAGTCCAAAGTGGTTTTTATTTTTAGCTCGTCCCCCTCCCTTTGGGTTTTACCAGCTCTGAGGAGCTGCAGTGCTGCCTCCACTGTCTCCATCCAGCCAGGAGTGGGGATTCCACCCTTCCCTGCCTGGGAGCTTCATGGGAAGAGACTGCTGGAGCTGGGGGTCACCTAAGAGCCACCCTCTGCCTTGCCCAGGGCAAGGGATGGGCACCCCATTCCCAGGAGTGCTCTGCTGCCAGATTTTTACTCTCCGAGCCGTGTGAGTGTGTGTGTCTGCTGAGGTCTAAATTAAAAAAAAAAAAAAAAAGCAAGAAAAAAAAGACAAAAAAAAATTACAAATATTTAAACGTTTTTTAACAAAATAAAAATTTATTTTTATATTTAAGCTAAATTGCCTTCAAATTCCTTCAAGCTTGGTTCAGTGAGGTTGCCAGCTGTTAGTGTGTAGCTGTTCCCCACCCTGGCTGTGCCCACTGGGATGTGCTGTGCTGGGAAAGGCAGCTGCATCCCATGGGCTCTGCCGTGCTCCCCCTGCTGTACATCATCCCCTTCCTTTTAAATGTGATGTATGTGGATGTGACTAAACCTTTTTTTTTTTTCTTTTTTTTTAATTATTTCTCTGAGGGTGAGGAGCAGGAGCTCTCACGTTACAGTGCTGAGTGCCAGGGTCAAGGTGTCTCTCCCGGCAGGAAGGGCAGGTGACGGGCTCTGTGTGGCACAGAGAGGACACAAAGGACCTGCAGGTGCTGGTGGGGGTGGTTCTGGCCATCCCCCACCAGCACAGCTGAGGGTGCAGTGGGCTGAGAAAACATATCCTTGGGGTTTGAGGAAGCGACTGGGACAGGATCAGTACCCACCAAGACTGACCCTGGGCATCCCTCCCTCTGCCCCAGGCAGGGTGGTGGGCCAGGAGAGCGCCCACCCTCCCCATCCTCAGAGGTGCCAGGGTTTGGCCAGGTCCACTCCAGCAAGACCTATGTGCCAGAGAGAGGTGGGAATGAGCAGGGACAAGGTGAGGGCACCCTGTAGTCCCACACCCCCAGCCCTGTGAGGTGCCAGGCTGTCCCTTCTCCACCACACAGCCCCTGCCGGGAGAGCCCCCAGTGCCTGGGGAAGGCTGGGTTTTAAACTGACTGAAGACTTGGATCATTCCTGGTGTGGCTGATGAGGATTTTAGTGTGAATGTGCAATTTTTGTTTCCTTGCTTCTTCTGTCCCTGGTTTAAAATAAAACAACTGTGTTCACACGTGTGTGATTCCTGGGGCTGGTGGGGTTCAGGTGCCACTTCTAGCACACTCTGACTCATATGTCCTTGCTCCCCCTCGTCAAAGGTAGGCGCAGGGAGAGGATTATTATTATTATTTATTAATTCACTTTTTCTCCTCCTATTTTGCCTCTACTACGAGCAGTGGCAGGACTGCACAAACAAGCTGGAGAAGACAGTAGAGGAAGAGAAACTTTATTCTGCTTCATTTCTACAGTTCAAGGCTTTTTTTTTTTGAAGCTCCACATCAGGCTGGGTTCGGGAATTTTTGGGAGGGGAACATGATAAAACAACACCCTTCATCGAGCTGGAGCACCCAGACCCTGCGGGGTGCAGAGTGGGGGTTGCCTTGGGGGCAAACCTGAGGGGGGTTGGCTGCAAGGGGCAGCCCTGGGTGACCAGTTCCCCCTCCCTGGCACCAGGGTGACCCCCGGGGCTGGCACTCAGTGCAGGGGTTACAGAATTCCCCCTGCAGCTGCAGCTGGCACAAGGCTTGACTTGTGCCCAGGCAGCAGGAGTGTTCCCTGCAAACCCATCTGGGCAGGGGGCAGTCCAAAAAATTGTTTCACTCCTTCACCCGCTGCTTTTTCCTCTTCCTCTTCCTGGGAGCTGCTCCTGGCTCCGTTTCCTCTCTGGGCTGTGGCTTCTCCTCAGCTGCCACAGGCAGGGAGCTGCAGACAAGAGCAAACATCCTGAGCCAGAGCTCCTGCCCCCTGCTCCTGCACCCACCCAGACCCCTCTGCCTCCCCTCACACCCTCCCCAGGGTGCCCTGCAGCCCTGGCTTTGGCCGTGGTGCCCCCCAGAAGTAAATGGAGACCCTCAGTGCCCTCCTCTCACCTGGGGGCATCAGCCCCTTCCTGGCACCGCTCCAGCACAGCCACGAAGAAGCCGTGGGTGAGGGTCTCTGCGGGGGACGCCCGGAGGCAGCTCTCGGCTCCAGGGAAGGCAGTGAGTCCTCGGCAGGGCCAGGATGGGAAGGCGGTCACCAGCCTGTGGATTGGGATGAGGGTCAGCACCAAACCCTGCCCTACAAGCCCCCTGAGCCACCCAGGCAGACCCACCTGAAGGCTGAGCCCTGCTCCTGCAGCACAGCCTGCACCACATCCTCGTTCTCCTCGCGGTGCACGGAGCAGGTGGAGTAGACCAGGCGCCGGAGGGCTGGGAAGCTCAGGGCATGGCCCAGGACCCGCTGCTGGAACCCGGCCAGCGCCTGCAGCCGCTCGGCACTGGGGGCCACCTCCTCCCCAGGCCCCCGGGTCACCATCCCTGCAGGATGGGAGCTGTCACCGAGGGGTCTGCACACCCCCAGCCCCGTCCTCGGGGAGCAGCCAGAGTCCCCTGTGTTACCTGAGCCGCTGCAGGACGGGTCGAGCAGGATATGGGTTACCCTGCTGTACTTGGGGTCTCGGGGGTCCACAGCCAGGAAGTCCTGCTGGGCCAGCTGGCAGCTGGTGACCCCTGCCCGTGCCAGCAGCGTGTTCATGGTGGCCACGCGCTTGGGGTCCACATCAAAGGCAAAGATCTGGCTGGAGGCAGAGCACAGTGCCCAAGACAGGCATGAACATCCCACCTGGCCCCGGGAACCCCTAAACAGCAGGCAGGCACAGCCTGGGAGCTGCCCCACCCCACAGGGGTACAGGGGCTGGGAGTGAACCCCTATGTGACTTCATGTCCCCTTAGGTGCTTGCAGTGGCCCAGGGCTGTCAGAGCCACCAGCTCACCTGAGTTTTTGGGGCAGGGTGACAGGCTGCAGCTCTGCCACCTTCTCGTGCTCTCTATGTGCTTGGGGGGACCAGGGCCACCTTTCCCCCTCCCTCCACTCTCCCCCACAAACCTGCCCTCACCCCTTGTTCCTCAGGATGGCAGCCAGGTGGCTGGTCTTGTTCCCGGGAGCAGCGCAGGCATCGATGACGTGGGAGCCGGCAGCAGGGCTGAGGAGGAAGGCAGGGAGGCAGCTGGCCTGCAAGAGGGACAAGCCCGTGAGAGGGGTGGGCAGCAGCACCCCAAGCCCTCCTCAGGGCACAGCTGGCACTGTGTGGTCACAGGGACCGCAGCGACACAGGGCCAAGGCCACCAGAACTGGAAGCTTTGCCCAGTCCACAACCCCGTGCTCCTCCCAGCTGCTGGTCCCCAGCTCCCATGGAGGGTTTTATAGCCCAGGAATTCATTCCAAACCTACAGGCTATGGAAGCAAAGCCCCAGGGAAGGCTGCATCCGCAGTTTCTGCTTTGACCTAAGAGCTGCAGCAAAGCCCAGCCCTCATGGAAGGAGCTGACCCTACACCCTGTCAGTGTTTTTCCCACCCCTGCAGCCTCCTGCTCCCACCTTGTCCTGCAGAATGATGTGTCCTGAAGTATACAGCAGGTTGTCATGGAAGTCTGTCTGAGGAGGGAAAACCAGCAGCTCCGGGAGATGAGGATCCAACAAGAACTTCTTTCCGGAGAGGGCCCTCAGCTCCTCCAAGCTGCCCATGAGACACATGGAGGATGAATACACATAGTCCTGGCTCACTATGGCCATGGCAGAGCCCTCCAGAGCCCAGGCTGAGTCCCCCTCATCCCACAGTTCCTCCCCAGCTCCAGGCAGCACCCACAAAGGCAGAAACTAAGTGTCGGGTGATGGAAACCTCAGCCCAGCCACCCTGAGCACCAAGACCAGCAACCCTTCTACCCACCAGACCTCATCCCAAGCCCCTGCTGCTTTGCTGACACCCCAGGTAAGGTGGGATAGCAGGAAGAAACCCTCACCTGGCTGCCTTGCCCAGGTAGGAGTATCCCTGGCGCTTGAAGAAGTCGATCACATCATCCACACAAGTCTTCAGGGTGTTGACCCGGACGTAGCGCGGGACCTGGGAGGCTGTGAGGGCCAGGCGGGTCAGACACAGCCCCCCACAGCTCCCAGCACGTGGTGCCCACCCAGCCCTGAGCCCGCTCACCTGCGGGGCTCGCCTGCTCCGGGGCCAGCAGGTCCTCGTTGCGGCTCACCTTGTGCCGCACCTTCAGTCGGGCCAGCTCGGCCTCCAGCCGCGCCCGGTGCCGCCGGGCCAGCGCCTTCCAGCGGCCCCCGCACTTGAGCCCTTTGCCGAAGAGCAGGTCGTACACCAGCACCTGCGGGGAGGGCACGGGGTGAGGGCATGGGGACACCACGGCCGCAGGGACACCCCGGCTCCGGGACATCCGGGGTCCGGTACATCCCGGCCCCAGGGACACCCCGGCTCCGGGACATCCCGGCCCCCTCGGGTTGGAGACATCCCACCCCCGGGACCCCTCGCTTCCCCCGTACCTTGGCCAGCTGCGGGGGCAGCTTCTTCTCGGCCTGCAGCAGCGCGGCGCCATCCAGCAGCTTCTGGAGCACCGGCGCGTAGCGGAGGGTCTCGGACACCAGCGCGTAGAGCTGCCGGACGTGCTGCGGGACGGGCAGGGGCTCAGCGGCACCGCCGCACACCGCGGGGCTCCCCCAAACCCCCGGCTCCGACCCACCCCCGCCGGGCCTGAGATCCCCCCGGGCTCACCGGGAAGCCGCTGTTGTACACGAGGCTCTTGAGGCCGCCCTGGCCGCGCTCCAGCCCGTCCAGCACCGCGGCGGCCGCGCTGTACAGCGCCATGTGCGCTGCTTCTAACACCCCGGGCCGCCGGGCGGGAGGGGGCGAGCGCGGCCCCGCCGGCAGCCGGGCTGGGATCCGGGATTCGAGAGCAGGCATCCGGCTCCGGCTCCGCCTCCACCCCGGGGGAAGCGGCGGCCGGGCGGGCCCGGGCAGGGGCAGCCGGGTTTGGTAGGGGTAGAGGGGCAGCCGCTGTGCGGGACCGGCGGTTCGAGCCGCGGCATCCCGGCCACCATCATCGCCGTCACTCCGGCCATCCTGGTCATCCCGGCCAGCCCCATCACCCCGCTCAGCCCCATCAACCCCGGCCACCCTGGTCATCCCGGCCAGCCCCGTCACCCCGCTCAGCCCCATCAACCCCGGCCACCCTGGTCGTCCCGGCCAGCCCCGTCGCCTCGCTCAGCCCCATCACCCTGATCATCCATCATCCTGTTCACCCCAGAGGTAGCAGCCACCTCGGCTATCCTGGTCACCCTGGTCACCCCGGTGATCCCAGCCACCTGGCCACTCCAGCACCCTAGTCATCCTGGCCACCGCTATCACCCGGGCCAGCCCAGTGACCCCCCCTCAGCCCCGTCACCCTGCTCACCCTGGTGGTCCTGGCCACCCCTATCAGCCCAGTCAGCCCTGTGACCCCAGTCACCCCCGTCACTCTGGCCATCCTGGTCACTCTGGTCATTCTGGCCACCTCTGTCACCCCAGTGACCCTGGCCACCAACCGTGGCCACCCTGGCTGCTCCAGCTGTTCCAGTGGAACAAGGCACCGACAATGTTAGCAATGTCCATGACACGTGGATGTTGATGGTGATTTACTGCAGACTTTGGTGGTATTCATCCTGAAGTCAAACAAATCCAAGGATGCCCAGCCCTGGAAAGAGGAGGCTGCCCTGGGGAAAAGACACAGTTCCCCACCCCAGCTCTCAGCCCTGAGCAGCTGGACAAGGCACTGTCCGGAGCAGATCAGTGTCCTCCCACTGTGACTGACCTGCTGTCTGCACACAGCTCTCTGTGGCTGCTTTTTGGGCTCCCATGTCCCCCCTCCAGCAACCCCTCCTGCCCTGCAGAGCAACACAGCTGCCCCCTCAGCTCCACTTTGCTCGGTCTCTCCGTGTCCCCATGTCAGCCAGCAACCAGCCCACCCAACTCAAACTCTCTTTATTGGGAAGGACATGCCACAAAGACTCTGGACACTCGTGGCTCACACTTTCCAGGCAGACAGGCCTTTCCATAGGGAGATCCTTGCAGGCCAGCGATGGTTCGGGTGTCTGGGACAGCCTGGCAGGCTGGGAATGGGGATTGCTGAGGTGAAGGCTGACATTTTATGCTCTTAGGGGAGAGGGGAAGGACCCTCCTGTGCTGCTAAAGCTTGTTGTGCAGCACCACGGCTTCTATGAGAGGACAACCCTGCACACACCCACACAGGGTGAGAGCTGGGACTGCTCAGCCTGGAGAAGTTGTGTGGAGACCTCACAGCCCATTCCAGGATCTGAAGGGGCCTGCAAGGAAGCTGGAGAGGGACGCTGCAGTGACAGGACAAGGAGTGATGAGTTCACACTGAAAGGGGGGAAATTTAGGTTAAATATACAGGAGAAATTCTTCCCTGTGAAGGTGGGGAGGCCCTGGCACAGGTTGCCCAGAGAAGCTGTGGCTGCCCCAGCCCTGCAAGTGTCCAAGGCCAGGTTGGAGCAACCTGGGCTAGTGGAAGGTGTCCCTGCCCATGGCAGGGCAGTGGAACAAGGTGGTCTTTCAGGTCCCTTCCAACCCAAACCATTCCACGACTCCATGCCTGTGACCCCCACCCAGGACTCAGCCACAGCCTCATCCCTACTGCTCCGTGTGTTCCCTGGGGGCAGGATGGGGTGCCCAGGGGTGCCGGCTCGTGGCAGGCGTGGGCAGGATGATGGGAGGGGAGTAGGACCCTCGCTCGGGCCAGCACAGATCCACGATGGGGTAGAGCTGGCCCTGGAACTCCGCCTGGAAGGTGTAGATGGGGCTGAGCTCGTCAGGGCTGTCAGCATTGTAGAAGCTCAGCTGCCCCCTCTCGTAGTGCAGGAAGAGGCCGATGCGCCGGGGCCGGGCCGTGAGCGGCAGCGGCACCCGCGGGGAGCTGAAGGCCTCGTACACCTTCCCATCTTTCAGGCCAATGAGCCACACCCCGCTCTCGGGGCACTTGCTGAGCTTCCCCTTGCGGCTCACGGTGCCCCTGATGACACCCAGGCGCCAGTGGTTCCTGGTGCCCACTATCACCTCCCAGTAGTGCCGCCCGCAGGAGAAGCCCTTGGAGGTGAGGATGCAGTTGCTGGAGTTGAAGCGCTTGGGGTTGCTGTCCCGGCGCTGGGAGAGCCCGCACTGCACCACCGTGTCCCCCTTGGAGAGCTCCAGGAGGGGATGTGCTGTCACTGGGTCCAGTTTCAGCGCCTCTGGAGCTGGAAGGAAAGCAGGCAGGCTCCAGGCACACCGGAGGCACAGCCTGGCTCAGCCCTGAGGACCAGCACTGCCTGTGCCAGGGCCCCCGGCAGGACGGTACCTGGCAGGACACGGCGGTGCAGGCGCTTCCACACTGTCATCTTGATGTCATCTTGGTGGAAACAGGGCTTGAAGGACACGGGGCTGAAGGTGCCATCACTGGGGTGCAGGCTGGGGAGCTCTGACCTGGAAAGATGAGACAGCTGTGACACAGGGGATGGGGGCAGCGTGTGACCGCTTCTCACCTGGTATGATGGAGCCACTGGTGTGACACCAGCTGCTTGTGCCCTTGTCTGGGGTGGAGGTGATGGCTCTGGCTAGGCCGTCCCTCACACCTGCAGTGTCTCCTGAGGCTGCTTCAGCAATGTGGAGGTGCCCACTGGCCTGGGACCTCGAGCCTGCTATGGAGGCACTGCCATTCCCACAGTTGCTGTTTGCTGCTGGGTCCCACCACTCACCTGAACTGGGAGGAGCCATATTTCTGGAAAACAAAAGAGAAGAGAGTCAGATACAGCTGCACAGCTTCTCAGCCTCTCCAGCCTAAGATTTTCCTCTCCTGGAACTGTTATGGGCATTGCCTCTCCTGGAGGGCAGTTTTCTCCCATGGGAGAGCCCTGGCTGGACAGGGCATCCCACTTCTCTGGTGTCCCAGCTTGGTGAGGGCACCCAGTGCCCAGGGGTGCTCAGGGCAGTGAGCAGGGGCTGAGGGCTGCAGACCAGGCTGGCACCCACACTCACCCTGACAAAATCCAGCTGATTTTCATTGCCCAGGGCTTCCAGAGAGCTCTGCATCTCCCTCAGCCTCTGCAGGGCGTCCGATGTCTGCTTGACCTGGGCCTCGATGGAGGAGATGAGCTGGGCTGCCTTCCCCTCGATGCTCCCCAGGAAGGTGGCCTTCTCCTCATCAATGTACCTGTGCAGCTCCTGGAATTCCTTCCGGACCACCCACTTGTAGACATCCACCTCAGCCTGTGGGGAGGAGCACGTGGCTCTGCAGGGCTGCCCTGCTCCTTCACCTGCTTTGTATTGTCAGAGGTGCCACCAAGTCACCCCCCAAAGCCACCAAGGCCGCCCTCCCCTGCCTTTCCAAATAACCAGCAGCTCTCTACTGGATGTTGTTCCATCCTCAACACCTCACCACCATCCCACCCCCGCCTTCCACCTCTTCTCCCCCAGATTTTCCCTTCCTGACATCCCAACCAGCTTCATCAAAGTGAAAGAGCATTTTGATCCCTCTGCTCCCAGAGCCTGCGGCCTGGGCTAAGGGGAGACAGCTCCAGCTCCTCTTTGGTTTGGGTTGAGCCCCACTGGGAAGCTTCAGCCTCAGAAAGGATGTCAGGAGGTGCCTTGGAATCATCTTCCACATGGGAAATGTAGCTAAACCAGGCACAACCTCCATGTGAAGCCAGCAGTGTTGCCCTGAGTGGGAAGGCTGCTCCGAGCAGAGCCATTTTCACCTGTTATCTCCCCACTTCCAAGGACATTGGATCAAACAGTTCCTGGCAGGAAGCTCGGAGAGGTTACATCACCCTTCTGGAAACAGGGCTGTGGCACCAGAGAGGGCTCCTTCCCCCTTCCCAAAACCAGGACTGGGCTTAGTCCCTGGGTGTCGTGGAGAACACAAAACTCAGGGAGCAGGGTGGAAGATAAGCCCTATCTGCTGCTGCAGGGAAGGGGAGAAGAGGAGAAGAGGAGTAGGGGGGTGAGCTGGGAAGAATCAGGAGCAGAGGTTGCTCCAGGGACACCAAGGACTCTGGGACACAAAGGACTTGGGGACATGGCATGGGCTCCCCTGGCACGTGGCACTCACTGCGACCCGGCTTTTGTTGTTGATGAGTTTGCTGCACTGTTCCTCCAGGTTCCTCTGGCACTGCTGGATGTTAGTCAGGAGAACAGAGAGCTCCTCCTGGAAACACAGCACCATGGAGGTGGCCTCCTTCCTCCCAGGGAACCTCCATGGTCCCAGGCAGTGCCTGTCACCCCCAGGGAGCACGTGGCCCTCCTGAGCCACATTCTCCTACATGTTCCCTAAGCTTTCTGGGGCCCTGCACATCCTGCTGATCTTTACTTTCATGGTCAGGAGGATCTGGAGGTGCCAGAGGCAGGAGAGCACTCAGCATGGCCCCAGTCCAGGTGCTACTGCCCAGCCATTCCTGCCAGGAGCACCGTGTCACCTCTCCCACTCCCAACACTCCACGTCTCACACCCCAGGCCAGCACCAGCCAGGGGCACCCTCACAGTGCTGGTCCCAGCAGTGGCACAGGAGCTTTTCTGGTGCCTCCTGCTCTTATCTCCCCGGTGCCAGGAACGAGGGGGACGGGTGGTTTTGCCATTCCTGGGGCTTCCACGTGGCTCTGGGCAGGGAACACCAGCTGTTTGCTCTGCCTGGCTGGGGCTCCTGTTTCCCACCCCCCTGCTCTCCTGTGGCACCTCAACCCTGACCTCCAGACTCCTTTTGATGCTGTTTGAACACGGCACCCCAAACACCTGAGAAACAGCTGCCCCCCAACCCCTGCCCCACATCTGGCCCCGTTCCCAGCCTGTCCCCCAAGCACTGCAGGTGCCCCTGGCTGGCTCTGCCCTCACCTTCATCCTGCAGTGCACGGCGGGGATGGGGGTGAGCCGGTGCTGCCGGTGGGCGCCGATGGTGCCGCAGAGCCCGCAGATGACCTCGTGGTCGAGCTCGCAGAAGAGGCTGAGGGGGTTGTGGTGGGTTGGGCAGGACTCTGGCATGGGTTCTGCCTCGCCCCTGCTCCGCAGCACCTCGATGAGCCGTGCCAGGGTGACGTTGGGGGCCAGGGGGCCACGGGGCATGGGCTGGCGGCACACAGGGCACGGGAACTGCCCCTCCTGGCCCTCCCCGTGGAGGGACAGCGTGCAGGGCTGGCAGAAGGAGTGCCCACACTGCAGCATCAGCGGCTCCCTGAACACCTCCAGGCAGATGGGGCAGAGCAGCTGCTCCTCCAGCTCGGCGAGGCTCATCTTCCGAGCCATCCCGACACCTTCCCGCTGTGGGAGACACGGGATGGGGGGGGATCAGTCCTGTTCCAAGAGGAGCAGAGATGAGTGGAGACGCAGCTCAGCGCCTGGGGATGGCAAGGCAATGACACTTCCACCCTCGCACGCAGTTGTAAACTCATCATTAAGCTCCACACAAAGTCCAGGATGGCGATTTCAGCCCACGCTGTGGGTCTGTGGCCACACCTGGCCACGGCTCCTGGGTGTCACCCCTAAGCTGTTCCCAGCTGGCAGGGGTGTCACATCAGCCCATCCCCAGAGTCCTGCCTGTGTGGTCGGGCTCAGACACACCCAGGAGGGATTTTCTGCTGGAAAAACCCCCCAGTCTTGACTCCCCTCTGTATGGATTCCCACAGATCTCTTTGGGTTTCTCATCTCAACCCATCGACATCCTCAGAAGGATTGGCATCAGCTCAAGTGATGCATCTAAGCAAAAGCAGAAGGAAATCACAAAAAGCACGTTTATCTTGGATACAGGGACAGCCATCACACAGCAAACACCCATGGGGCTGGATTTTGGGAAGCTGAGACGCAGCTCACCCCCTTGAAACCTGTTTTTGCTTTCCACGCTCCAGGACAGCGCTCCTGAGAGACACAAGCCCAAATCCCATCCTCTGCCAGCAGCTCTGGGGAGCACAGGGCAGCTGTTTTCCACCTGTAAGGTCGGGCAGCGCTGCCTTCCCTGCTTTTTTCCAATGGGACAGAACTGCCAGGGCAAGGCAAAAACACCTGAACTCCAAGAATAGAAACCTGAACTCCAAGAATAGATACCCTAAGGCAAAGAAAATAAACCCTGGAGTCAGGGAATTGGCCATTTCCCCAGGGAAAAGGCAGGCTGTGTCCTGAGCTGGGCTGCAGTCACACATTGCCACGGGGGTTTGGTGAGCCCAGGGAAGCTCTGGGGTCAGACTGCGACCCACCAGGCACCCCAAAAGGGAGGACCAGCCTCGGGTGCTCCCTCTGCTCACACAAAAACACCCCCTGGAGACCCAAATAACCCCCCACCACTCACGTGCCCTCCACGGGACCCCACGGATGTCCCTCCGCTTGTCTCCGAGCAGCGGGATGGAGAGTCCAGCTGCTCCTCTCCTGCAGCCCTTCCAGAGGCTTTTCCCTGCCCACGGGACAGCCCAGGCAGGCTCTCGTCCCCCTGGACAAGAGGACAGGGCGCACCCCAGGGAAGGGCTGCCCACCAGGCACACACACCACATGACTGGGCAGCAGCCCAGATAAGAGCCAGTGTTTGCCTCCAGTTCGCAGCCACTGCTCCCAAAACCTGCTGGGATTTCCCTCATCCCTCCCAGGAACGTTTTTACCAAAGCACTTCGCTATCAGCCACGTCTAAGATAACTTAACTTAAGATACTGTTATCAACTAAGTGAAGATAACTTTCTTATTAACTACTTATTTTTGGTTAAACCACGG